CTGGCCTGGAAGAGGGGCAACCGGGACAGAATCCGGCGCCCCGACCGGGACTAGAACCCGGTGTGCCGGCGCCGCTAGGCGGAGGATTAGCCTAGTGAGCCGCGGCACCGGCCTAAATAAATAAAGTCTTAAGAAAAACAGGGTCAAAACTCTGTGGATCGAGATCCTGGAGGATCAAGAAGAAATGGATTATGAATTACATGCATATTTACATGTATTCAAGCATTGACTGTATATTAATTCTGTAAAGTGGATGATAGATTCTCTAGATATTATATACCTATAGGAGCACTACAGAAAGTAGGAAGTTCTACTGGACAGTGCTGCCGCAGCATTTTAATAACTTCTCACTATAGTCCCTCTTCCACCCCCTGTATAGTATAGGGGTTAAAATCGTGGCTTTAGGATGCAACATACGAGTCTCTGTTTAGCTGTGTGTCCTTGACTGTGTGTTTTGTCCTCTTTGAATCTCAGATTCTTTACCTAGAAAATGGGAATAATACTTTGTATGTGTTTTTTTTTTTTTTGATTAAACAAGAAATTCACAAACTGAAGAACAGATGTCTAGTGACCATTCACCAACAGACTGAAAGAAGTCAGGTGCTTGGTCATTAATCATAGAGTGCATTATTACTTGGGTAGTCTTTTTTGGACAGAAAAACTAGCAACAAAGTTGCACTTCTGCAGCTACTCATAGTTCATATACCATGGTAACTCACTTTGAACTGTGTTGCTAGGGGACTGGTGTGACTTAACTAAGACAAAGGCATTTAAGTTTGCACTGTGGCCAGGCAAAGCAAGGGCTATGCTGAACTTACATGATGCCTGGCACGTGGTTAGCCTTTAGTATCAAGTATATAGTTTTCTAGCATCACTGCCATCATTTTCATTATACTACTGTTGTTTCATTTCTTCCTCCTGAGCTACAAGACACTAAGGAGTCAGCCCTACGACGAGGAGCTGGTGCCAGGGGTGGCAGACAATGCAGTGTTTTTAGCCAAGAGTGTAACTTACAATGGCCAAAGGACACCTTGATCTCAGTTGAAGACTTGGGCCAAGTTCTTACTGGCAGAGAACTGAGAAGAGGTTTTGGGGAGTGGGTGGGTGAATTCAACAGCAGAGTGCCTGTGTGCAAGTCCTGGCTCCATCTCCCATTCCAGCTTCCTGCCGATGTGAAGCTTGGGAGGCAGTGGTGATGGCTCAAGTAGTTGGGTTTCTGCCACCCTCATGGGAGAACTGGATTCAGTCCCTAGCTTCTGTCTTCAGCCTGGCCCGGCCCCAGCTGTTGTGGGAGTTTGGGGGAGTGAACTAGAGGATGGGAACTTGCTTTCATTGTCTGCCTCTCTGCCCCTCAAATAAATAAATAAATAAAAAGAATGTTAAATGGATGTATAGTCATGTATTGCTTAACAATATATGTCCTAAGAAATGCATCATTTCTGTGTTGTGTGAATATCATAGAGTACACTACGCAAATCTGGATGATACAGCCTGTGACACATTGGAGCTACACCTTATAGCCTATTAATTTATTTGTTTTGCTTTTTAAACCTTGTTAAAAATGAGGATACAGACAGACATCTTAGCCCAGGCCTCTCCAAGGTCAGGATCATCAATCATCAATCATCGCCGTCCTCCACCCCCACATCTTGTCCCGCTGGAATGTCTTCAGGGGGAGTAACACACATGGAGCTGTCATAATGACGTCTTCTGGACATCTCCTGAAGGAACTGCCTGAGGCTGTTTTACAAATAACTTTTTCAGTAAGTAGAAGGAGTACACTCAAAAATAATGGTAAAAAGTATGGTATAGTAAATACCTAAACCAGGAAACAGAGGATTATTACCCATTATCAAGTAACATGCACTGCACATAACCGAGTTACTCTTTTATGTGACTGGCATCACCACAAATGCATGAGGAGGAGTGTGCAGCTCTAAGAAGTTAGCACAGCTATGCCATCGCTGGGCAACAGGAATTTTCCGTTATCATCTTATGGGTCCACCATTGCTTATGACCATAAATATCCTTATGTGGACATGACTGTGTATCATATAGCATTGCACGCAAGCATACAGCGGTAGTGACTAAAGTGACTTAATAATGTAAAGATTTATTTTCCTCATATAGCAAGGCATTCTGAAAGCAGTTAGTTCAGTTACTTCAGTGATACTGAGTGCCGTAGGGACTTGCTCCTTACCTGTGCTATCTGTAGCACGTGCCAGGCTGCTGGAAGACCTAGTGCCAGGGGACCCTATTTTTATACTTGTGAGGACATTTTCCAGTGGCTTGTATAGATCTCCTCTCCTCCCTTCTTCAACCTGTTCAGTGTCCTGAGATGTTGACCTGAATGGACAATGGCACTTGAGCTCCTTGCCTTCTGACTTCCAGCTGGGTTTGGCCAATGGGAGGCACCACCAACCGGAGGGCTGCTCTTGCTGCGGAGCCCTCTCCAAATATCTCCCCCCAGTCATGTGGCTGGTAGTGCCCCCTGGCTGCTGCTGCGCCAGGGTATTGTGCCATATCTTAACCAGGTGTCATACACTACGCCCTTTCAAAAAGTGCCTTAAAAGAAAAAACAAAACCCTACTGCTGTTCTCCTGTCTCCTAAAAGCCTCTGACTAGTTTGTGTTCTCTGTGCACAGCTCATGAGGCCATAGGCAGCACATTGTGGGTCTTTTTTTTTTTTTTTTTTTTTTTTGACAGGCAGAGTGGACAGTGAGAGAGAGAGACAGAGAGAAAGGTCTTCCTTTGCCGTTGGTTCACCCTCCAATGGCCGCCGCGGCCAGTGCGCTGCGGCCGGCGCACCGCACTAATCCAATGGCAGGAGCCAGGTACTTACCCTGGTCTCCCATGGGGTGCGGGGCCCAAGCACTTGGGCCATCCTCCACTGCACTCCCGGGCCACAGCAGAGAGCTGGCCTGGAAGGGGGGCAACCGGGACAGAATCCGGCGCCCCGACCAGGACTAGAACCCGGTGTGCCGACGCCGCTAGGCGGAGGATTAGCCTAGTGAGCCGCGGTGCCGGCCAGTAAATAAATCTTAAAACATTATGAATAACTTAGTCTTAGAATTCTTTTCACTAGCTTACACTTTGGGTCTTCTTTATTCAGCAATAATAAAATTAATATATCCATTATAGAAGACAGTACAGCTTCTCAAGAAATGAGAAACAGAACTGCCACTCAGCAGTGCCACTTCTGGGTGCCTATGCAAAGGAAGTAAAATCAGTGCTGTATCTTGAAAAGATATCTGCCCTCCCACACTCATTGCAGTGGTATTCATAATAGCCAAGATACGGGAATAGCTTTTGTGTATGTGTTTTACAGCTTCTAGAATGAAAATGTGGAATATATACAAAAGCACTTCAAAAAATTTGAGGAAAATCAAGTTAAAAGACAAGTTTATTTTGGTGCAAAAAATTGAAATCCATGCACGGTTCTTTCATAGTACACATTTCCATGCACTTTTTAAAGACCCTTGTTCATGATAAAATACTATTTAGCCTTTTAAAAAAAAAGTTCAAATCTTGTCATTTGTGACACAATGAATGAACCTAGAAGACATTATGTTAAGTAAAATAAATCAGACACTGAGAGATAAATACCGTGTGATCTTATATGTGGAATCAAAAAAATCAAGGGGCTGGCTTTGTGGCGCAGCTGATTAAGCCACTGCCTGTGATGCCTGTGACACCCCATATGAGTGCCAGTTTGAGTTCTCGCTGCACCTCTTGCAATCCAGCTCCCTGCTAATGCACCTGGGAAAGCAGCTGTAGGTGGTTCAAGGACATGGGCCTCTGTACCCACATAGGAGATGGGGATAGATTTCCAGATTCCTGGTTTCAGCCTGGCCCAGCCTGAGCCGTTGTGGGCATTTCAGGAGTAAACCAGCAGATGGAAGATTTGTCTCCCTCTTTGTCACTCTGCAGTTCATGTAAAGAAATAAATCTTTTTTTTTTTTTTTTTTTTTTTTTGACAGGCAGAGTGGACAGTGAGAGAGAGAGACAGAGAGAAAGGTCTTCCTCTGCCGTTGGTTCACCCTCCAATGGCCGCCGCGGCCTGCGCGCTGTGGCCGGTGCACCGCGCCAATCCGATGGCAGGAGCCAGGAGCCAGGTGCTTTTCCTGGTCTCCCATGGGGTGCAGGGCCCAAGCACCTGGGCCATCCTCCACTGCACTCCCTGGCCACAGCAGAGAGCTGGCCTGGAAGAGGGGCAACCGGGACAGAATCCGGCGCCCCGACCGGGACTAGAACCCGGTGTGCCGGCGCCGCTAGGCGGAGGATTAGCCTAGTGAGCCGCGGCGCCGGCCAGAAATAAATCTTTTTTAAAAAAAAAAGATTGCATTTTGCATCCACTGTGTAAAATAAATTTTACCTCTTTGTGCTTTTCTTAAAAAAAAAAGATTTATTTGAAAAGCAGAGTTACAGAGAGAGAGAGAGATCTTCCATCCAGTGGTTAACTTCCCAAATGCCCTTGAGAAGGTCTGGGCCAGGTCAAAGCCAGGAGCCAGGAGCTTCCTCCGGGTCTCCCACGTGGGTGCAGGGACCAAAGTATCAAGCATCCCAGTGCAGGTTGGAGTATTGGCAGCTCCACTTCGCTCCAGTTCCCTGCTAATGCGCCTGGGAAAGCAGTGAAGATGGCCCAGGTACTTGGACCCCTGTACCTACGTTGCCCAGACTTGGCTGTTGGCGGCCGGTTGCAGAGTGAAGTAGTGGAAAGACAATTCTCTCTCTCTCTTCCCATTCCCTCCCCCAACCCTGTAACTTTGCCTTTCAAATAAATTTTAAAAAAATGTTTTTTTTTTAAACAAACACCTTGTGTGTCTGGGTTTTGCTTTGGGATCGGCTGCATTTCAGACGAGTGATTCTGATGCAGACCCTCAAAAGCATTAAGCACTTCGTAGTTCACTTCGGCTGTTCGGAAAGTCAGCCTGCGGGCATTTGCTCTTCTTCCAGCCGAAGCGCTCGCCGGTGCAGCCCCGCCCGCCCCGCACATCTGGAAACCGTTTCAAGGGCCGCCCCCCTGCGCCCGCGCCGCGCCGCGCCGGCCCGTCTTCCCAGCTGCTCGGCTCCGGGCTGGGAGAAACCCGAGCCGCTCTCCGGTCGACGCAGGCAGAGCGGGGTGCGGGGCGGGGAGGAATACTCGCTTGGAGACGTCACTTTGGCCTTGGGGCTCTCCAGCCCTTTGGGATTTCCAATGGGATCTTAGCCGCAACCGCCGCCCCGGGCCAGCCACGATTGGAACGCTCTGCCCGGCAAGCTCTTCAGGACCGGGGAGCCCCCCGCCCTCCCTCACCGTTCGCCAGGTAAACAGAGACGCTGAAAAGCAGCTGCAGGCCTGCCCTGGTCCCCGGCCCCTCTACAGCAGTCTTGGCTGAAGACTCATAAATCAGAAATGTCAGGCTGTCCCACAAAACTTGGCCTTCCCAAGTCCCCATCCCCAAGCGTTCCAAGGGGACCTTTTTTTTTTTTTTTCTTTTTCTCTTTCTCTTTTTTTGCCATGGCAGCAAATCCAGGGTAGTAAATGTGCAAGTTTTTCAAGTCCTGGATTGCTCTTCCAGACCCGGGTTTATCCACCCAACTCTGAGCCCTTTTTCTGAGCGTGATATCCCCACTTGCGTCAGATTTTAAGCACAGAAATCAGGAGTTACATAGGATGTGTTGAAGGCTAACATTTACCACAGGTTCGTTTCTGAGCCACTCATGATCCAGTTGAGCTGTGATTCAGGTTTTCAGAATCTGCCCTAGGAGGCTGTCCTGAGGGCCTGTAGCCCGAGTCGTGGACATCTCAGTGAGGCTTCGAGTAAGGGCGGTAGCTGTGGGGTTCCGGTGGAAAATGCTTTTTAACATTCGAAGTATGTCTCGTGTTCATTTTAAGTGCAAGCAAGGTAGACTGGACATGCCTAATATAGCCTGATACATCGTGAACGTAAGTTACAAAGCGGTAGTTAGCACAGAGTAGCTGAGAGAACTCCATGATATGTAAGCATCGGGATGTACTGTGGAAAAAAACCGTTGCCTTCGCTGGCCCTGTGCAGTCAGATGTCTGAAGTGAGATTGGCTGGGGAGCTGGGCTTTGTCCCTTCCTTTTCCTTCAGGTGTTTTGGCATTGCACTTCTGCGTGAGAGACCCTTTCTGTATTACATAAAGGACTCCCATCCCCCGCTTGACGGTGAGCTGCAGTAGTGGGCGCGTGGGCTGGGTGGGGGGAAGGGGGGGCGGTCAGACTCCCAGGGCTGAATCTTTGTGCTGGCACTGAGAAGCTTTGTAAGCTTGACTCTGGGCGAATTACTGCCCCAGCGTGTGCCTCTATCGCCTCCTCTGTGAAATGGGAAATAGATGGCACCCTCCCTAGAGAAGACATAGGGGAGGGTCTGCAAAGTAAGGGAGGCCTCAGGCAAGGCGAGCTTCTCTAGTGACCATGAAAGGGACTGCTCATCACTGCTCCTGGCTCCAGTCCTCACCTGCAGTACTCCAGGAGAGAAACCACTTAAGGCTGTTTAACCCACTTAAGGTTGTCTGACACAGGGGGTTCCAAACAGGTGATCCCCAAACCATTTTAGCAAGTATCATTTAACATTTCTCAGAGCGCCCGGTGGGTCGCTGCTCTGACCATGGTAGTTTTCATGATGGTTCCCTCTATGAAATCCTACTTTGTGACTAATGAACATCCCTAGGGGATAGCTCTTTCTTTAGAAGCTCTATTTATTTGAGAGGCAGAGTGACACAGAGAGAGGGAAAGACAGAGATCTTCTGTCTGCTGGTTCACTGCCCGGCGCTCGCGTGGGAGAACTGGATTGAGTTCCCAGCTTCCACCTGCAGCCTGGCGCAGTCCTGGCTGTTGTGGGTCTTTGGGAGTGAACCAGGATGCGAGAACTCTGTCTCTCTCTATCCCTATCTCTCTGTCCCTGACTCTGTCTCTCTGCCTCTCAAATAAATAAATAATGAAACTTAGGGGTTCTGATTGTTGGAGTGTTTTTCTGAAGAGTCCTTCCCATTTTTGCCTTTTCCAAAGCAGAGCGAATCCCCGTAGCTATCGCCGGGTCTCCAAATATCCGTTCCAGGTTTGACCACAGTTTGCCCAAATTGCTTAGCACCAAGTGAAACAGATCCCCATGCAGTGTCTTCAGGCATCTAGTTTTCAACTTGCCTGTGCTATTGGTGTTTTGCCAAGACCAATGCCATGGAGTTTTGTTCATTTTCTTTTAGTCTTACCATTCTACATCCTACATTTAATTATTTAATGTGTGGTTAATATGCACATATGTGCTATTTGCACATTATATACCTGTGTGAAAATATTATACTGTACCTCATGACTATGTATAACATGCATATTAATTGACAAATAAAAATAAATGTATAATCAATTTTGACTTGCATGTAGTGAATAATGTGAAATAAGAATGCAGTTGTATTCTTTAGCATGTGGATATCTAGTTTTTCCAGAACCATTTATTGAGGAGACTACCTTCTCCACATTGTGTGTTCTTGGTGCCTTTTTGGAAAATTAATTGATCATATATGGATTGTTTATTTCTAGGCTTTCTATTCTGTCCCATTGGTCTATGTGTCTATTTTTACACCAGAGCTACACTGGATTACTATAGCTTTGTAATATAGTTTGAAGCCAGGAAGTGTGACGCTTTCAGCTTTGTTCCTGTTCAAGATTGCTTTAGCTATTGGGGTCTTTTGTGGTTCCATATAAATTTTGGGATTTTTTTTCTATTTCTGTGAAAAATGGCATGGGGATTTTGATAGAAATTGCATTGAATCTGTAAATTGTCTTGGTTAGTATATACATTTCTATAATATTGATTATTCTGATTTCAATCAGTTAAAAATTTTAAAAGTTATTTTAAATTTGAGAGGCAGAGAGAGAGACAGAGATAGAGACAAATACAGTGAGTTGGAGGATACGAGTGCTGGTTTACTCCCCAGTTGTCTGCAATGACTGTGTCTGGGCCAGGGCCAGAGCTAGGAGCCACGAGAGCAATCCAGGTCTCCACTTGGGTAGCAGAACCCAGACATTTGAGCTATCACGGCTTCCTCCAAGGATCTACATGGGTGGAAAACTGGAGCCAAGAGCCAGAACTGGGAGTTACATCCTGGCATTCTGAGAAAGGCTGCAAGCATCTTAGTAGCTAGGCTGAGCATCCACTCCTCAGCCACTTTTTTGAAGTCAGATTCATATCTGCCCCTTTGAAGGTTACATGTAAAGTAACATGTTTACATGTAAAGTCTGAGGACATTAGATCTGCTAGAGTTGTCTGTTCAAATATAATGAGGAAACAGACAAAGAAAAGTGAAGTGATTTCCTTCAGCTCACATAATTATAATCGCTGATATTGACGGGGTGCCTGTTGTTTACTTTTATAGGAGCTTTACATGCACTATTTTATTTATTCCACACAAAACCTTATTTTCTTTTTTTCACCCAGAAACCTTCTATTTAAGGAATACAAACTTCATTCATTTCATGAATACAACTTTAGGAACATAGTTATTCTCCCACCATACCCACCCTTCCACCCACACTCCTACCCCTCTTCCTCCTCCCACTCCTATTCCCATTCTAATTTTTTTTTACTAAGACCTATTTTCAATTAACTTTATAACACATACAATTAACTCTATACTAAGTAAGGAGTTCAACAAATAGTATGGAAAAAAAAACTGTTGCTCAGCAGTGAAGACAATGGCTGTTCAAAGTCACTACATTTCAAATTGTTAATTTCACTTCAATAGATTACCTTTTAGGTGCTCTATTGGATATCACAGATCAAAGAAAACATATGGTATTTGTCCTTTTGAGACTGGCTTATTTCACTAAGTATGATGTTTTCCAGTTTCATCCATTTTGTTGCCAGAGAGGATTTCATTTTGTTTTTTTCCACTGTGTAGAATTCCATGGTGTACATATCCTATAATTTCTCTATTCAGTCTTCAGTTGATGGGCATTTGGGTTGATTCCATATCTTAGCTATTGTGAGTTGAGTTGCAATAAACATGGGGTACAGATAACTTGTTCATAAGGTGATTTCATTTCCCCTGGGTCAATTCCCAGGATGGGTCATATGGCAGGTCTGTATTCAGATTTCTGAACTATCTCCATACTATCTTCCACCATGGCTGTACCAGTTTACATTCCCACCAACTGAGGGTTAGGGTACTTTTTTCCCCACATCCTCACCAGCATTTGTTGTTTGTTGATTTCTCTATGAAAGCCATTCTAACGGGTGAGGTGAAACCTCATTGTGGTTTTGATTTGCATTTCCCTGATGGCTAGGGATTGTGAATATTTTTTCATGTGTCTGTTTGCCATTTGGATTACCTCTTTTGAAAAATGCCTGGTTAAGTCCTTTGCCCATTTCTTAACTGGGTTGTTTGTCTTGTTCTTGTTGAGTTTCTTGATATCTTTATGTATTCTGGTTATTAATCTTTTATCAGTTACATAGTTTGCAAATAATTTCTCCCATTCTGTCAGTTGCCTCTTCACTTTGTTGAGTGTTTCTTTTGAAGTGCAGAAGCTTCTCAATTTGGTATAATCCCATTTGTCAATTTTGGCTTTGATTGCCTGTGCCTCTGGGATCTTTTCCAAAAAGTCTTTGCCTATGCCAATGTCTTGCAGGTTTCCCCAATGTTCTCTAATAATTTGATGGTATTCAGTTGTAGATTTAGGTCTTTAATCCATTTTGAGTGGATTTTTGTGTAAGGTATAAGGTAGGGGTCTTACTTCATACTTCTGCATGTGGAGATTCTGTTTTCCCAGCACCATTTGTTGAAGAGACTGTCCTTGCTCCAGGGATTGATTTTAGCTGCTTTATCAAAGATAAGTTGGTTGCAGATGCATGGGTTTGATTTCTGGAGTTTCTATTCTGTTCCATTGGTCTATGCATCTGTTTTTGTACCAGTTCCAGTCTGTTTTGATTGTAACTGTCCTGCAGTATGTCTTGAAATCTGGTATTTTGATGCCTCCAGCTTTGTATTGTATAATTGCTTTAGCTATTCGGGGTCTCCTGTGTTTCCATATGAATTTCAGCATAATTTTTTCTATATCTGAGAAGAATGTCCTTGGTATTTTGATTGGTATCACATGAAATCTGTAAATTACTTTCAGTAGTATGGACATTTTGATGATACTGATTCTTCCAATCCATGAACATGGAAGATTTTTCCATTTTTTGGTATCTTCTTCTATTTCTTTCTTTAATGTTTTGTAATTCTCATCTTAGAGATCTTTGACATACTTGGTTAAATTCATTCCAAGATATTTGATTTTTTTTGTAGCTGTTGTGAATGGGACTGATCTTAGAAGTCCTTTCTCAGACATAACATTGTGTATACAAAGACTATTAATTTTTGTGTATTGTTTTTATATCCTGGCACTTTACCAAACTCTTCTGTGAGTTCCAATAATCTCTTAGTGGAGTCTTTGGATCCTCAATATATAGAATCATGTCATCTGCAATTAGGAATAATTTGACTTCCTCCTTCCCAATTTTTATCCCTTTGATTTCTTTTTCTTACCTAATGGCTCTGGCTAAAACTTCCAGGACTATATTGAATAGCAATGGTAAGAGTGGGCATCCTTGTCTGGTTCTAGGTAACAGTGAGAATGCTTCCAACTTTTCTGCATTCACTAGGATACTGACCATGGGTTTGTCATAAATTGCCTTGATTGTGTTGATGAATATTCCTTCTATACCCAATTTGCTTAAAGTTTTCATTATGAAAGGGTATTGTGTTTTATCAAATGCTTTCTCTGCATCTATTGAGATAATCATATGGTTTTTGTTCTTCAATTCGTTAATGTGATATATCACATTGATTGATATGCGAATGTTGAACCATCCCTGCATACATGGGATAAATCCCATTAGGTCCAGGTGATTGATCTTTCTGGTATGTTGTTGGATTTGATTGGCTAGCATTTTGTTGAGGATTTTTGCGTCTATGTTCATCAGGGAAATTGGTCTGTAGTTCTCTGTGTTGCTTCTTTTTCAGGTTTAGAAATTAATGTGATGTTGGCTCCATAGAAGGAGTTTGGGAGGATTCACTTCCTTTCGATTGTTTTAAATAGCTTGAGAAGAATTGGAGTTAGTTCTTTAAATGTCTGGTGGAATTTACCAGTGAAGCCATCTGGTCCTGGGCTTTTCTTTGCTGGGATGG